TATGTTTTAAAACTCATACACACCTGCACATGCATGCACGTGTGTATGGGTTTGTGTTGGTAATTGAGGTGAATCTCATGAAAACTGAAACTATTCCAGCAACACATCCCATCATGTTTGGGTGAAGTTTCATGACCCAGAACATAAAGAATCTGACCCAGATCCTCACGTAAGACATTAAAGCTATTAGCAAAAAACCACGAACCAAGGGCGCACCGCTACGTGATACATCCAGCCCATGTAGGGAAATCCTTTCTCAGTGTTTGGCATTAGTAAGGAATTCTGCTTCTGCATCAGTTTGATAAACAACCAGTTTGGAGGAAATTTGGGGTTTCCTAAAGAGCACCTACCACTGAGCAGGTGTCAACCACTTGTTGCCATGGTGACAGACAGCGTTTCACTACTGTCCCAACGACAGACAGTATTCATACAGTCAGGGTTAATGGACTCAGAGTTCTCACTGGCCTTTAAAATCAGCTTATACTTTTATAAGAACCCATATCACTATACACAAAAAAAACAACTCTGCAGCAGCCGAGTGGTTGTTCACAACGACCTGTTCTATCGATGAGAGAAAACCAACAGCAGAGGGAGCAGCTCCTCTGTTGGTGTCCCATCCATCTATCCATCCATCCAGCCATGATCAACATAAAAGAAAATGTAGCCTCGGGTGTGTCAGTGCAGGGAGAAAGACCCAGGTAAAGTCTCTGCCCCCTTTTATTGACTCTAACCACAACTGAACTTCCAGCAGGATCTGTTTCTCCAACATAATTAGAATTTTTGTTAAATATAACAAAGCAGGGTCTTAATGTGAGAAGATAAAATGTTTAACTTTAACAAATTCTCCTGTCTACTGATTTGATGGATCCAATCATCTGTCGAATGTTTTTAATAGTGGACTTTATCTGAAACCAGTCATGTGCTACATTATTCACTATGACAGCCTCTGCTGAAATACAGACATGGACAACATTGTTGGTACCTTTTGGTCAATGAAAGAAAAAACTGGTCACAGAAATAACTAATCCGACAAAAAGTAATGTTGAACACAAATTCAATGAAACTTAACCAGTGAAAGTCAGGCATTGCTTTTCATCCGCTAATAAATTCACAGAACTGGCCTGGACAAAAAAAGCCTGGCCTGCCAGACTCGTCCTCTGTTTAATTCTGCACAGAGAAAGAGTCTAGTAACTCACAGGCAGAGAGGCACGTGAGGGGCGGGACTTGGCAGCTCAAAAATAGCCAATCAGAAAATAGACGGAAACGCCGACTCTACTGCACGACGCTGTAGTTTTTAGCTGTAGTCAAACATAGTGTCTGGCGACAGCGCAAACATCTTTTTTTTTTTAGAAGAAATGCTTTTAGCGCTTCTACTTGTTGTGGTTTTAAAGACATTCAAGTCATTTAGAACAGAGGAAAGGGCCGCAGCGAACTCATGCCATGTTTATGACAAACTCGCCGTTATGGTGTGTGACGTATGCTACTCAGCACTGATTGGCTCACTTAGAATTATCAGGGGGTGGGGTTATTTGAATAGAAGAGTTCCCAGACCCTTTCTCTGTGCAGAATTAAAGAGAGCAGGAGTCTGGCAGGCCAGGCTAGGAAAAAAAATGATGGTACCTCTAACTTAATATTTTGTTGCACAACATTTTGAGGCAGTCACTGCAATCAAACAATTCCTGTAACTTTCAATGAGACATCTGCATCTCTCAGCAGGTATTTTGGCCCACTCCTCATGAGAAAACTGCTCCAGTTGTCTTAAGTTAAAAGGGCGCCTTTTCCAGGCAGCATGTTTCAGCTCCTCCAAAGATGCTCAATAGAATTGAGGTCAGAGCTCATAGAAAGACATGTTAGAATATTTCAATGTTTTCTTCTTAGCCATTCTTGGGTGTTTTAAGCTGTGCGTTATGGGTCATTGTGCTGTTGCAGGATCCATGACCTGTGAGACCAAGTTTTCTGACACTGGCCAGCACATTTCTCTCTAGAATCCCTGGATAGTCTTGCAATTTCATTGTACCCTTCACAGATTGAAGACACCCTGTGCCAGATGCAGCAAAGTAGCCCCAATCAAAACAAAGCCTCCTCCATGTTTCACTGTTGGGACAGTGTTATTTTCATGATATTCTTCATTTTTCCATCTATGAACATAGAGCTGATGTGTTTCTGCAAAAAGTTCCATTTTTGTCTTATCTGTTCATAGGACATTCTCCTAGAAGCTTTGTGGCTTGTCAACATGTAGTTTGACATATTCCAGTCTGGCTTTTTTATGATTTGTTTTCAACAATGGTGGTAGTCTACTTTGACTCAAAGGACAGATGGTACAATCTGACACTGATGTTCTTTGAGCTTGAAGTTCATCTTGGGTCTCATTAGACGTTTTTCTGGGCTCTTTTGTTACCATTCAGGTTATCCGTCTCTTTGATTTGTCCTTAATTTTCCTCCTGCGGCCACACCCAGGGAGGATGGCTACAGTCCCTTGGATCTGAAATTTCTGAATAATATGTGCAACTGTAGTCACAGGAACATCTAGCTGCTTGGAGATGATCTTATAGCCTTTACCTTTAACATGGTAGCCTGTAATTCTTTTCTAATATCCTGAGTAGTGGATGGCTGGTGAATAAATTTTTTGATGGGGCGCAATTTAACAGGTGTTGTGCCAAAAAGAGCATGCCAGCTGAGATTTGCATGATCTGTTCTGGGAAGGTGCAAATTAATAACAAGGTTTTTTAATTTAACTCCGACTTAATGCTGACAATGCAAACCAAACTCTGGCACCGGTCATACGGGGACCTAAAAGCCCATGCCAAAGGTCCTTGTACCCCATACTCCTGGAGTATCCTCCCACAGGGTTCCCTGGGGAACGCCGTTGAACGTTTTCTCCAAATCCACAAAACACATGTAGATTGGTTAGGCAAACTCCCACACAGCCTCCAGGATCCCTCTAACCCTCCCAATGTCTTTATGGGTGACCCCGTGAGGAAAGTTGACCATTGAGCAGGATTGATGGTTTATCCCTTGAGGTCCACGTGGCAGGGGTGAGGTGGTGCTCACTCCTCACCCCTGCCACGTGGATCCATGGGATAAACCATCAACCCTGCTCAATGGTCAACTTTCCTCGCGGTGTCACACCCATTGGGACTGTGGGAGGGCTAAGGGTATAGAGCTGGTCCAGTGTGCCACGGCCAGGACGAAAACCGCATTGTTCCTCCTAAATCCAATGTTTGACAAACCGATGGACTCTCCTCTCTAGAACCCCTGAATAGACCTTACCAGGGAGGCTCAGAAGTGTGATCCCTTTGTAATTGGTGGGCTGCATGGTGGCACAGTTGTTAGCACTGTTGCCTCGCAGCACGAAGGTTGCAGGTTCGAAACTCGGCTGCGGCCTTTCTGCGTGGAGTTGCGTGTTCTCCCCATGCATGCATGGGTTTCCTCCGGGTACTCCGGTTTCCCCCACAGATCACAACATGCCCTGTAGGTTATAAATTGTAAGTCACTTTGGATAAAAGCATCTGCCAAATAAATAAACATAAACATAGTTGGAACACACTCTGCGGTCCCCCGTTTTAAATAGGGGGACCACCACCCATCAGTCAAGCCAATAGAACTGCCCCTGATGTCCATGTGATACTGTAGAGTCGCTTTCAACCAACACAGCCCCATCAAATCCAGAGCCTTAAGGAACTCCAGGCAGATCTCGTCCACCCCCAGGGCCTTGCCAATGCAGAGCTTTTTGACCACCTCAGTGACCTCCGCTCCAGAGATTGGAGAATCCAAGCCAAAGTCCCCAGCCACACTCCCGTCTGTGTTTCTCTCTCTCTCTCTCTCTCTCTCTCTCTCTCTCTCTCTCTCTCTCTCTCTCTCTCTCTCTCTCTCTCTCAGACACACACACACACACACACACACACACACACACACACACACACACACACACACACACACACACACACACACACACACTTTTTCTTTGTTCATGTGCTTTAATAAAGTGTTAAACAGGCTATCTTTGTAAGTGCATTTTTTGTGCTCAAAGGACTTTAATGTGCCTATTTTAGAAAATATGACATCACACAAAAAGTACAAAGTGAGCAAAAAATATTTTTATGCCTATTTGTGACACTCCAAGGCTGTGACAATTTACCCACAAAAACAGGTCATCTGGACATAACACACAAAAAATGATTTGATTTTTTCATTTTTTGTACAGTTTTCAAACTTCTGGTTTTGATAATAAACCTGGCAATAGATCTCCGGACGTCACGTGACTCTCAGTGAGTAGACGCCATATTGGAAGGCAACAAAGGTAAACAAAATGAATGGGATCGGATTGGATTTTACTCCGTCGGAGTTTACTTCACACTTAAAAACTGACTAAATTGTTTTATATAGTCAGAAATTAAATAGATTAAACATCTCCAACCCTTACCGTGCCTCTCGGATACTTTTTAAAAACGCCAGAAGCTGTTGGAGCAGACTTATTACCGGACCTGGCCAGGGAACGCCTTGGGATTTCCATGGAGGAGCTGGCCCAAGTGGCTGGAGAGAGGGAAGTCTGGGCCTCTCGACTTAGGCTACCACCCCTGTGACCCGACTCCGGATAAGCGGATGAAAAACTGGCCTGATTTCATTAATTATTTACTGATACCAGCTGCTCTCTTGGTCATAGGTGATCCTCTGGTGTCTGCAGGTGGTTTCCTCTGCTGGTGTCGTCAGGATCAGGAGCTTCCAGAAGAATGTGCCTTTGACTCTTTCCTCCTCTAAACAGTTATTTGTTATATTAATTAAATAAATCTCAATTGATATATTTCCTGTTTTTGTTCATGTCCATAAATACTTAAACATGCTTGAAATTAAAACGAGCTTTTAACAGTGAGGTGCTAGTTTAATTCATCACAATAGAGCTAGTTAAACATGCAACATTGTGATAATTCAATTAATGTAATTTATAAATATCCATTATAATATAAAAACTGGAGTCAAAATGAGACATTTGGCAGCACAAAAAACTTGTCAAACACAATATTTATTATAATAATTGTGGGCAGACAGGAGACAGAGCTGATGGAGGTTCTCAGTCATCGAAGGATGGCTGAAGGCTTTCCAGGAACAGGAGATGTGGTGTTGTCTCTTCTCTCTATTCTGCCAGATGAGCTGATAGGTTACAGGTGTGTGAGGACATCCTCATGCTGTCAAAACCAGATGACAGGAGTTATCGGTGATCAGCCAGGCTAATGATGAGATGCAGAAAGAAAACTAATCCAGGACAGTGTACAATAATAACAATAATATGCGGTGTTGCTCACCTTATGTGCTCTTATAGAGTATTAACGTGTGCCTGCCTCATGGTGTAGAGTCCATATTTTGCTGAGTGTCCTGCAATAATGCAGGTTATTAGTTAATTTACTTTTAATAGCAGAAACAAAATATTTAATGTAAAAGTTATTTACCAGGTGAATCAGCTCACACGTCACCACCAAGTGTCACAGGGCCAGAATCAGTAGCCTCCTTCATGATGTCATGATGTAATCACATACATTTAATTAATTGTAAATATCTTAAAAATTCTGAAATGTTTTATTTTTTTTTTTTTTACCTTGAACAGTTCACTGAGCTTGCACTGTCACTGAGGTGGAAGCTGGAATCAACAGAAGACACCTCACATCTTGGTCTTTTCAGGGGTTTGGACGCTGCTCTGGGACTTTCTGGAAGATGAATTTCCGTCATGGTCCCCGTGTCACCAGACACACTGAGGCTGGGAGCTCTAAACTAGGTGGCTATGTAAAAAACAAAGAAGCAGCACATTTATAGATGTTTAAAAGAGCATAAAATCACGTGTAACAATAATCTGTAAAACAAATTAAAACTAGAAGGTGATAATAAAATGTTTACATTGACGATTATTAAACATAATTCACTGCCTTCTATGCCGGTAAGGCTTCACGTCAGCCTGGACAAGTGCATTCTTGCAGACTACTGAATCAATCTGACAGCCAATGTCTTGGGTAGATTTAGCCTGGGGAAAAAAAATAGAAGCACATTGTTGTTGGAGTTTATAAAGTCAGATAATATACAAAAGAAACTGTCCTATATAGGCGCTTCATAACATTCCTAGTGTGTGATCGTTATTATAACGTAAAAGTCAGTCACATATGATGTGAAGAGAGCCTGAAATGCGACCTCCTGAACAGAATTCCTCACAGAACCGGGTCACGCTGTGGTGTAAAGCTGGATTTCACGCTGTAATGCTGTCTGTCAACTACTGCTGTGTTAGTTAGAGCCACTGTTAGCAGAATTACTGACTGACACAAAAACAAGACAAATTTTCTCCGAGCCTGACAGTAATAGTCATGTGGACCATTTCGCCGGCCAGGGCTTCGAGATAGGTTCCGATCCGCCGCTGATTCTAACCTTACATCCCGTTCCACATTTTGTGAACTTGACAAATCTGCCCGAAGGCAGTGCAGAGTGATATTAGCTAAATGAAGTGAACCACGTCTCTCAAACTTTGCATTTAGGTAGGGAATTGTCTTTAGAAGATATTAAAATTTTTATTTAGCTTACTCACCTCAGACTGGAGCCCGCCATGGTGGGGGAGAAGAGTCGGTGGGCTGCATCTAAATTGCGGAAGAGCCACGGTGGGCACGGCCTCCCTCTTCCAACGGAGACGTGCAGAATAACCCAGTTCGAACTCCATCATGTTGGCGAAGGAGTCGCGGATAAAATGCTGGTTGCAAACTACAGCACCAGGCGGGAGCTGACTGTTTTCCAGTACACCGATTGCACGCAACCACTGGCGCCTAATTTCTAAGTCCAGTGGAAAGGAGTGCAACCCCACAGAGCCACCGCAACCCACTACACTACACCTTCTCACCATACTAACACGATATGGAACACTAAACCCGAACTACTTTCCTAATAATGCTAACAGCTAAACACTAACTAAACTAGACTTTCTAACTGCCAAGCTAAGTGTGTGTGAGGTTTCTCCGGCTGTGATGTCCTATTGATGGTATTTTAAGGTGTATTAAATTAGATTGGACTGAATAGGAAATCACTGAAGGCCCAGGGGTGGAACGCACCGCCCGCCACTGCAATACAGAAATCCTTAACTAACTCCCAAGCCGTCACGATTGTGATTGTGTCGACCATCTCCCTCCAATATGGCTGAATTACTGGGCATTTCCAAAAAATATGGGAGTGGTCTGCCATGTTTTCCCCACATTGTCTCCAGAAAGTCTTTCTCTCGGTTGGCCTTTCTGTTGCATTTTATTTTAGGGGTCATAAAGAACCTGGTAAAATTTTTCCAAGTGAATTCCCTCCAGTAACTTGAACTAGTAATTTTCCTCTGTGTTTCACATATAGTTGTTCAACTTTCCTCTGATATGGTGACTTGTGCTTCCCTTTCCCATTTAATTTTTATATAATTAGTTGATTGGTCTTTGAATGATTGTAGGTTCCGATAAAGTTTGGTAATTAGTTTGTTTTTAATCTTACTTTGATATGCTTCTTTTATAAGGGAGACTAGGCTGTCGCTCTGTTCTTCCGTGTTTTTTATGTTACTGTTGAAATAAGACCTGACTTGGAGATATCTAAAAAAAATCCAGGTTTTCCAAAATATATGTGTCCCTTAATTTGTCAAAACTCTGTAGTCCATCCTTCCCTGCTAATGAGCAAAATGGTCCGATCCCTTTTGTCGACCATGCCGCATAGCGGCCATCTTTTTGTGCCGGGGAGAATTCCTTATCGCTTGTGACCCATCTAAGTTGTTTTATGTTGGTGTCTGATTCATGGTTCTCACATTTGTCAAACCATATCTTTAAAGGTGTTTTAGTTCATTCATTGAACTCTTTTTTCTTTTCGAGATACAATTTTTTATCCCCTAATATTGTCTGTAGTGGTAATTTTAATTATGTCATATCTAAATCTTTCCATTTTGCCACATACAATGGATCACACCAATAGAGTAAATATACGGCGGCCCTGAAGTGCAAACCACAAAAACAAATCACTTAACGCAACAACAAAGTGAAACACGTAACAACAAATCACTTAATGCAAAAACAAATCACAAAATGCACAACAAATTGAAAAGCGCAAAAAAAAATTCACTAAACACAAAAACAAATCACAAAATGCGCAACAAATTGAAAAGCGCAACAACAAATTCACTAAACACAAAAACAAATCACAAAACGTGCAACAAATTGAAAAGCGCAAAAACAAAAAACAAACCGGAAGAGGTAGGTACCAATGCTGCAAGGCATCACTGATTGGATGATGGATCCCTTAGCCTTTTGAACCGGACGTTGTTCTGCGTAACACATTTTTTACAAACATGAACATTACCAGTGATCCACACATTGCGAATCCACGGGAAGGATGCTTGTAAGAGTGCATTTTGAGGTCGATGACGTCACAGCACAGCGACGAGTACTGTCCGAATTCCAAGAATACTGCTTCTCACGTCCTCAAACGCGTCCTCGCTCCAGCTGTGGATTTTCAACAGGAAGAGAAAATGGGGAGAGCTACGAAGTTTTAAACGTAAGTTTAGCCGTAGAAACCTGAAAAGCTTAAAGCAGTTCAGTTCATAGACATTTTTCGTTTGTATATTTATTTTTAAAATGACATTTTAGGCAGAAATCAGCCAGAACGAGTTTGTTTCCCAGGTCCCAATTATTCCCGTGTGTGTGTGTTTGGGTGGGTGTTTGTGTGTGTGTGTGTGTGTGGCGAATTAAACTTTTCATTTGTTTTAAGGACAACAGAGCAAAGAAGCTTTTTTTATTAAGCTTAGAGGTGAAGAGTGAAGCTGTTTACACACACAACCACAGAAGTTCTTCTGTGAAAAGTAGTTTTACATTCAGGGGTTTACACAGCTGACACGTTATAATGAAGTAAAACGTGTTTGTGTGAAGAATAAAAGTTTTATCTTCTCATGTGGATAAATGTAAAAATGTGTTTATTGCCTTTTTGTTACCTGTGGTCTCTGATTTTCTCTGTAGGACTGCAGGTGTCCAGGGTCAGGAGAGGCTTTACCTGTTGGTCTGTCAGACTCGAAGACTGGTTTTGGGAGTACGAGCTTTATTAGAGACTGCTGGCTGCAAGCGGTGCTGGAAAGGCTGACGGAAGGATGAGGTCTGAGTTAGACAGGTGGAGGTTCAGCTGTATTAGCTTCTGAATACTCTGATCATGGAACACGGTGGAACGATGACTGAGTGAAGAGCCGGTGTGGCGTCTTCCATATATAGACATGGATGACGCAGGTGCAACGTGGAGGGAATCCCCGCGAGGGGCATGCTGGGTAATGTGGTCCGAGACAGAAGCCGGTCAGCTGGGAGAGCCCGGCCTGGGGGCTTGGACTCTGACATGGTCATCCTGGGAGAAAGGCCTTCTACTGTCATCATGTTAATGATATTTAGCTGTTTGATATTTGAACACGTTTATTAAAACAAATACTAACTGATAACTCTTTATGGTCATTGATTTTATCACCAATTTTAATAGATGTTTTTGAACATGTTACATGAACAGGAAATGAAAAGATGGTAAGGAGACAAGATTATTTATAATACATTACACTTATTTACAGATCAAAGCCAGTATGGACCAGTTTTGTATGGTTAAAGCAGGATTGACCTGAGTGACTCTTCCTGGATCATTTTTTTAAACTGAGTGAGCAGGAAGTCTTTAACAGTGCAGCTGGATCTGCTGCAGGAGGATCCAGACGTGGATGGAGGGCTGGAGCAGACCCGTGGCTGGATGTTTCTGGTCAGAGGAACATCATACAGGACGGTCTGCAGAGAGAGCTTTGGGACGCTTCCTCTCACTGTCCACTCCATCGTCCATCTACAGGGCCTGCTGGGCTGGCTCAGACGACGGCTGTTACATCTCTGTGAATGACTTGCCTGTTAACAGTAGTGGTGGTCTGCTGGTACCTCCTCCAGGACAGAGCACCACTGACCTCCTCCACACACATCTTCCTCAGACTCATCCTCCAGACCCACAACTTCACCAGCACCGATGCAGATGTGCAGCACAGTGCATGCTGACCTGTAATAGATTAAATAAGAGTTTGTTTGTTTTTTTATAGAAAAATGTAAAACAAAACATATAACCTGCAGTACACTGGTTCTGTTCAGTTTAAAGAAAAGCAGCAGGGAAAACTACAGAGAATTTTCATTTTTAAGACAGATCTAATCATTATTAGGCTTAAGTTGAATAAAAAAATGCACATTGAAAACACTTCAATGCTATTTTATTGAAAAACCTGTTTTTAAAACGTTTTACCCCCATTTGATGCAAAATAAGTTCTACGGTCCAATTTACATTAGAAAACATCCTACTGCATTCATCATTTATAATGCATTTGGTTTATATTAATTACCTACATGATAATACTCAGTAGTAATGTGGTGTGTATGTTTAACAAGTTCATTCTGTAGCTTAAAACATACATTAAACCATCAAAAGTTAACATGTAAGTCCTGAAAGCCTCTAGAATAAACAAAGTTACGTTACCTGAAAACGATTGTGAACAAACGCTGCTGATGGACATGAAGCTGCTGTAGCTCCTTAATATTCCTGTGTAAAGTGAGGAAGTATGGGTTTCTGTGCCAAAGGTCGTATTTGCCCGGCTGGGTCAAAGCTGGGTCACGCAGCACCTTCACCCACAG